CAGTGAAAGCCCCGTCCATGGTAAGTTTGAGTCAGCCCGCCGGCGGTGATTCCCCTTGCTCATTCAGGGGTATGCTAGCATGACCACTAGCCTTACCAAGATCGGCTAGAGCAACAGCATGCATCAACGGGTCACATATGACCATCTTCCCCTTCACTACCTCTGCCTGAGGATGGTGCTGAATGCACAAGAGCGAGGTGTAGCCATTAATTAAGGAATCCTTCTAACACTCTCATGGGAGGATTCTTCTGTGCGTGATCTTGTTGCATGCATGCCAAGATTGCGATAATGTCATCAACATCACAATGCACGACGTGTCCGGCAACGGGTACAAAACATCAAAGAGCCAGTCTAGCCCAATGTTCCGGATGGCCTGAATATTCAGTAGCCCAGTCCATTTCCATCGCTTGGCATAGGTCCACAAATCTGGGAAACCTGCACATCACATGGAAACTATCCTCGCATTCCACACCACAGAGAAGGCACATTTCGTTAGTTTCCAAATTCCACAAAATTTATTCGCACATGTAGCGAAGGAGTTGGAAATGAACTGCCACACAAAAACCCATACCTTTGGGAAGCGTGGCACCCCCATATGGTCTTTCAGGTGGCACGACGACCATCGGGTGCCCTTCTCGATGCGCTCGCCAATGGATGCTTGCACTCGTCCATGGTGAAGCGGTAAGCCGACCAAATGGAGAACACACCATATATCTCAGGTGCCTAAGCGAGGACGTAATTAGAGACTCGAGTGGATGTCATAATGCTGGTAATGACGTCGATATCGACTGAGAGGAGGTGTAGTCGAAGGAGGTCCATCCACCATACTCCATCGAAGTCCATACTGTTAAGATCATCACACACCGACCTAGGAAGTTTGAACATACACATCAAGTAAGTGGGTATGGCCCGTGCGGTCGTGCCCACTGCTTTGATCATCATCTCTTTGCCTGCAGAGGATAGAGTGTCTCCCAAAGCAATAATTCTTTGAAATGCTATTCTTAGGTAAATTTTGTACAAAATCTGTACATACTAATGCATTCCCATTTGTAACCACTTCCCTGATTTTAGCTAAGTGCCACAAAATGTACTAGTATGTAAAACTTTTTGTAGAATGTGTACACAAGAATAGCTATCATGGAAAACATAGTATACTCTAAATTATGCCATCAAACACAATGTAGAAAATGTCTGGTTCCATTACATGTACTTCCCAAAGGATTAAGTTTTTCAAGAGAACAACATTAACTTTGCCCGTGGATCCTTTTTTCGAAGACGTGGCCGGCTTGCCAACACTTATATACTTGCTTCCATGTAATCAAATAAAATCCTGAGGTGAGAACACAAACTTACTATGCATTGTTGCGAACTCGAATTTTATCCAACGGCTGAGCTCTTCCAGGGACGGATCAGACGGTCTATAACGCATCAAGGAGAATATCGGACGGCCAGAGTTCGCTAAGCTCTGAGGAGGCCCAGGTTTAGACGTGAATCTAACTATGGGATATGATGCTAATGCTATCAATCCAACAGACTCCAAAATACATATCATGTAGATAAGTAGATATCATCTTCGTACTCCTATCATGCGTATTGTGGTCTAGCCGGGACTCGGGTCCCTATCACCCCAAGTGGAAATAGTAATATGATTACCATCAGCCTGTTGCATCCCATAGAACTAGCCAGGGAAAGGCCGTCCCGCAGAGCGGTCGCCTATGTCCTCGTGTCACTGACATCATGAAGTGTTCGGTTGAGAATAGCTCTAGTTCCTCCAATTTTACTCTCTATATCAAAACCCGCATCTACATAAGCTTAACGTGACCATCCTTTGGCCGTGTCCACCCATGCCTAGCTACGCGAACACTGGTCTTCTTCTTAGCCCTCGCGAAGTTTGTAGCCTGTGTGAATATTGCTTGAGTAGACCTGATAGGGAGTTCAACTCTCTCGCCATGAGTTGCCTGTTGGTGCTTCGACCAAACATACCAGGTTGTAGTGTTGACTAGATCAGCTCTGAGAACATTTGGAAGAAGTGGCGCTGGCGAAGAGTTATCCAGCAAAAGTTCTGCGGGAAATGATGACCTTTCCCTGTCGTCGGTACATGCAATATTGACAGCTTGACTGAGACGCAAGTGTTGCCATATTTCACGAACACAGGGGCATTGGAAAAATGCTTG